AGAGTAGTGCTTTTTTTTCTTTTTACACTTTTAACATATTATCCCATTCTCTCCTGGCCTGTAAAGTTCCTGCTGAAAAATTCATTGTTCGTCTGATGGGAGTTCCTTTATAGGTGACTAGATACTTTTTTGTTGTTGTTGTTGCTGTTTTTAGATTTATCTCTTTTCTTTGACTTTAGACCATTATGAATATAATGTGTAGTAGAGAAATCTTTTTGCATTGTATCTGTTTGGAGACTTCAGCACCTTCTATATTTCAGCTGTCTATATTTCTTGCTAGACTTGGGAAGTTTTCATCTATTATTTTGTTAAACAGGTTATCAAACTATTTTCTCTTCACCTTCTGGGACTCTGATAATTCAAATATTTTGTCATTTTATGGTGTCCCACAGGTCACTAAGGCTTTGCTCATTCTCTTTTATTTTGTTCTTTATTTTTGTCTTTCTGGGATATTTCAAAAGACTTGTCTTCAAATTCTGAGATTTTTCTGTTTGATCTCGTCTATTGTTATTCTTCAGTCCCAGGATATGTTTGATTCTTTTTGTATGGTATCTACCTCTTTGGTAAATTTCTCAGTCATAGTCTGAATTATTTTTCTAATTTCTTTATATTACTTTTAGAATTTTCTTTTGCCTTACTGAGGATTTTTAGAACCAATTTTATTTTTTGCCTGCAATTTCATGAATTATTTTTTGATTGGTATCCTTTGCTGGAGAATTATTGTGTTCCTTTGAAGATGCTATATTCTGATATGGTTTGTCTGTCTCCCCACCCAAATCTCATCTTGAATTGTAACTCCCACAATTCCCACATGCCATGGGAGGGACCTGGTGGGAGGTAATTGAATCATCAGAACACGTCTTTCCTGTGCTGTTCTCGTGACAGTGAATAAGTCTCATGAGATCTTATGGTTTATAAAGGAGAGTTCCCCTGCATGACTTCTCTCCTGCCTGCTGCCATGTAGGACAAGATGTGCCCTTGCTTCTCCTTTGCCTTCTGCCGTGATTGTGAGGCTTCCCCAGCCATGTGGAACTGAGTTCATTTAACCTCTTTACTTTACAAATTACCCAGTTTTGGGTATGTCTTTATTGCAGCATGAGAACTGACTAATACATATTCCCTTGCTTTTTGATGTTTTCTGTGGTCTAACATTGATATCTGCACATTGATATAACAGTTGTTTCTTTCAGTTTTTTGAATTTGCTGTCATAGGGGGCACTTTTTCCTCAGGCTGAATCTATGGTGTTGATGATTATGGCACTTTGGCCTTGATTCTGGGTATGTCTAGTAGTGTAGTCTCTGTGTGATTTCTTTGGCTGTAAATAGTGTCAGTGGTATCTGTTATTTTCTCAGTGGCTTAAAGTGATGTTATTAATGGAAGCTGTGGTGCAGTTTTTCTGGAGACTGGTATAGATAGGTTAGTCTTTGGGCCCCAGTGGTTGCAATGGTGGGCTAAGTGTACCTGTTCTTGGGCCCCAGAGTAGCGTATGCTGGTACAATTGGTTCCGGGAAGGCTGATTTTTGGGCCTGCAGGTAGTTTACTTAGATGCTGACAGTTGCAATAGTGGGCTTGGCAGGTGGGCACGTTCTTAGGCTTCTGTGCAGCTAATGTCATGTGGGTGATACCAGTGGCAGGACAACCACATGGGTTCCAGGTAGTGTGAACTGGTGTTGCGGTGGCTGCAATGAACTGGATGGGACAGTCTTCAGGCCTGCAGGTAGGTGTCAGCTATGGTGGTAGTGGCGGGGTAGGGTAGGTTCAATCTCAGGCCCTTGGGAAGAGTTTTCAGGTGCCAACAGTATTGGCAATTCTCTGTTTTCCATACTGTAGGCTCTGGCATGTAGCAGGGTGTTGAATCCAGGTGGGGTGGGCTTGTTTTCAGGTCTGTGATTGTATGGGCTCTGGTAGGCAATGCCAGGGCAATTATCAGGCCATTGGGAGGATGTTCAAGTGAGGAGTGGCAGTGGCTGCACTGCTGTCCTGCCATTGGCAGGGGCAGTGCCACCTTCGGAGATAGCAGCGTATGCTGGGGGGTGGGAATCTGCATTACTTATGCCTTAGCCCCAACAGTGCTCACTCCTCAGGCCCCACTGTGGTAGCTGGCACCTCACTTGCATCTTGGTCCTGTGCACATTATTCCGTGATTGCTTCTGCCTATGCCACAGGGGCAACTGCTGTTGCTTCTCTTGTACTTCAGTCCCAGCATCACGGGCCCTACAATAGTGCATAGTTGTTTGGTGGTAGCGTTCTAAAATGACACCTTGTGGTGGCTGCTTAGGTATCCAGAAATGTGTGGAATCCAGCGTGGGTTTCATCCTGGGATAGTGTTGTCATGCAATCTCCCAGAAGCTCCCTGTGTTAGTTCAAAGGCCCATAGGGTTGAGGGGCTGTTCTGTGGCTGGGATTGCTGAACTCCATGGTGGACATTGAGACTTCTGAGTGTCTCTCACTATTTCTTTGTATCAGGAATCTCTTGGCTCCTTGCCAGTAATGGCAGAGCAGGACATCTTCACTTCCCTCCTCTACTTGCTTTTTGTATTGCCTGTTACTTTTCTGTTAAATGTTAATGTTTTTTGACCTATTCAAAGTGTGATTATCTACTCATGATTTCTGGTACTTTTAGTGGAGAAGGCAAATGTAAAGTACCTCTAGTCATTCATGTTAACACCCTTCCTCCTATTTATCACAGTTGAAGCAAAGAACTTGAGACAATATATTGCTGAAAAGAGAGCCATATAGACAGAAAAGTTTAGAAAATACCACTTTTGAAGTCTACTGTGAACAATTAGCAATATAGTGCTAATCATAAAACAAAAGAGCTGAGCAAAAATAAAGTACCTAACTATGCTAAGGGCGTTATTATGGGACAGATGCTATTTTAAGTCCTTTACATTTATTATCTCATTTAATCTAGAGACAAATGTTATCTCCATTTTTGGAGGGAGGACCTGAGATGTAGAAAGGTTAATAACATTCTTAAGTTCACAAAGGTAATTCATATCAGTGCTAGAAACTGATCCCAGAAATCTTACCCAGTAGCCTGGTATACTGTCACCCTACTGTGGTAAAGCTATTATATCAGAGAAAAAATATGAGTTGTTTTACATAGTCACTGAAAGCCAGAGGAGGAGGGGCAAACTAAAAACAAATGAACAAAAAGTTTAAAACTATTCAAATAGAAGATCATTTGAAAGAATGGCCCAACAGAAGGTATTCCGAAGGAAGACAATTAAACTTTATTTTTGAGCCTTTAAAAATAAAACAGCTTCTACTATAATCTTTAATTTTTCAAACATGGTTAAAGTAAATATTGCTGTATCTCATAAGTTCCCCCTACCATGTCCTGTGATTCAATATGAAAACACTGATTTTCTTAAGAGAAGGAATCTATACAATCCACATGTTTTCATCCAGAATCCTCAAAGTTGGTTGCTTGTCTTGCCTGTAGTTACTTGAACATGTTTCTTGTAAAACATAATTTCCCTCACTTAAGCCACGGAGCTTATTTTTTGCTGTATTACTATTTACTAATATAAGAGACCGGGAATATATTTATGAATTTTAACAAGTATTATAAAAATATTAGTTTATTAATGTGAAATGCTTAAATGTAAACATTAAAACCATTTAAAAAGAATATTTGTACAATGTTAATTTCAGTTTAGCACAAATACTACTACATATACTATATAAAAATGAAAATAATCAGTTATATTCATATACTAAAATTAATTCAATTTTTCTAGCACCTTTATGTTAGATTTTGGAATTTTTTACTTGTGCAAAAAGATAATGCACCAAAGACGAAAGTTACTTTCACCAACTAGTTTTCAGTGTGAAGTGTGCCTGGTAAATTTTATGAACTACTTCTTTAGATGTTTTTATTTCTACTCAAAATTATAATGTCATATGTCTTTTGTCATATTGTTGATGTTTATACAAACTAACAATCTGCCTCATTTTTTTTCATTTGTCAGATGTTTTGGAAAATATAATTCCTTTTAATGCCTTCACAGAGCATTATAATGAAAATGTTGCAATTAGGTGCACATTGTATTTTCAGCATTTTAGAAGAAGATATTCTGTACAAACAACCAAAATACAAATTTATTATTCTTTAATATCTTTTGACTCTGAGCCTTAGTAACTCTTAAAGTTGTCATATCTATTTTGTAACTTTTCTGACCTTTATAAGAAGTTCATGTATTCATACTAAATTATAGATACGTGCAAGTATTTAAAGGTTGGTTTATAAATGCTGGGGAATTTATACCACTAAGATGGACAAAGTTATTTCTAATAATAAGAAAGAAGAAAATAGTTTTTTGCTTTTGTTATTTATCTTCCCTTTTTTGCTTTTTTTGGGGGGGTAAATAAATTGTTTCAATACAATCTATTATTTTTAGAGCTAAAATGGACAGTATTAAGAAAAGCTAATATAGTCCTGCCATTTTTCTTGGGAGAAAAGTAAGTCCCAACAAGCTGAGTAATAGCTGAGACAAGTTCCCTGGTTTGTAACTCAGGTCATCTGCACTCTACCATACCTTGCTCTTCCCTCATAAGGAAAAGACAGAACACTTATAATGAACAAGTAAGAAGCGCCATCAGAGTGCTGTAGTGTGTTTTCTTTTGTTGTTTTCTTTTCTTTTTTTTTTTTTCTGAAAACAAACTGGGGCCACACCTCCATGCTTATCATACCTCCCCAACAGGAAAAGTGTGGTCTTCTGAATCATCACCAGTTGCGCATTCTGGGCCCTCTACTACTTGGAGCTTCTCTACCCAGATATTGACAATTACTTCACTGTGTGGAGCCAGCTGGCACAAAATTGATTATGTTCTTGTTCTTATCAGGCTAGAAGACTGCACACCTCACTCACTAAACCTGTCAAACTTGTTTCCTTTCTTGTTGCGGTGACTGTCATTATTTTCCAGCCTCCCGGTCCTAACCTGCTGATACAGATCAGATGGTGACTGAATAGAAGCTGCCCTAGTCCTGGGTTCATGATGTACGCGTAAGTATTCAGCTTTTCTCAGTAAAGGTTATCAATGGGGACAAAGGTTTACAGCTCCTGAGACAGGCAGTACAGATGTTGGCTGGTAGACATTGATTTAAACATTAGAGTTTTAATGTGTGCTATTGTATATTAAAGTTTTATTGTTATTGTTTTTAAATGTCAAAATTTTTTTGAACAACAGAGGCCAATGTGGTTTTTTGTTTCTAAATAAAAGAAATAGAAATGATATGAGGTAATAAGTTAACTACATTAATATTTAAAACATTTAGAAAAACCTATACTTCAAAGAATAACGTGTTTACTATAGCCCATTTACTTTTCCATGTTCCATAGCATGGTATACATTTTTATCATATGTTGCTTATTGAAGTATATTCTGGGAAAATGAAAATACAAATTAAGAGGAGAGGGTATTAGAATTTTTATTTGTTTAACTCTCATAGAAAGTATGATAGCAATGGAGTTATTGTATATATCATGAAAGAAATGATTAAAATTAAAATACTCAAATGTAAAAAATTATAAAATTAACAAAATCTAGACTGTGACATTTGTCATAATTGAACTCCAAAATAATTGATTAATTATTGAATTTAAGGTAAATAAATTTGCATTATATATTTATGTTTAGGTAATATTCAGGCTATTGTTTTATAGACTTCAAAAGGAATAACTGGTATTCAATGGATGATTTCATTCAAACTTGTGCTTAGTCTACCCTTGTTTCTTAAAAAGGTTTTTGATCTTTCTACAGACAGAAATTTCCCACATATTCTGCACTGACTGATGTTTCCAACTTAATCATGATTTTGTGACAATTTTAATTGTTCAGTCATTTGATTTTGTCTTCAATTAACTTAAATATTTAAAGCCTGTAGGCTCTGGCACTCTTAAACAATGAGTGTTCCTGCCCTCCCTAATTTACTTTCAAATTACAGCATGAGCCTGAGTAAGACTATTCATTTCATGCATAAATCTCCCACATAGACCCTGTCATGATGGCATGATATAGCATATTATCTGTACTTCTTACTAACTACAAGAAAGTACATTTCTTATTTACCAAGATAAAGACAGAATAAGACAAAATGTACAGTAGAAAAAACTTTTATGTTTAACTAACATTTATATAAATATGATATACTAAAAATCTGTTTAAAAATTTAGCAAAAAACTTGAACTTCTCTTATTCTAATTTATTTTAGAATTTTTCAGTATGTGTTTTCTATCAGCCTGGGTCTCCTCTTTATGGCATTATCTTTAAACACTCACTTTTCTACTCTAAAAAGTATCATTACCACATGAAATTTCTGTATTAAAGCCTCATCAGCTTTGATCCAGAGTTTATTATAGTTCTGAGGAATTTTTTTGTTTTACTTTTAAATTTGACATATAATAATTGACATATTTATGGGGTACATAGTGATATTTCAAAGCATATAATACATAGTGATCAGATTAGAGTAATTAACATATCCATCATCTCAAACATTTATTATTAGTTCTGAGGATTTAAAATATTCTTGCTAATTATATTTCAAATTAGATCTGCTTTTAAGACAAATATTCTGTCAAAAAATATAGATTATGTATAAAGATAAGAAGCTTAGACAATGGGTTTCTTGAATTCGTTAGTAAAGGCATTTCGCCCAAGGGGCTAGTCTCAAAGAATCAATGAGTCAGATAGACTATAGCTTCTTAGCAAAAGCCCTGTCTTTCTCGTTTTGTTTTTAAAAATTTTGGTGAAGCAGAAAGAGTACCAGCATTTAGATGTGTTCAAGATCCAACTTTGGACTCATGTGTCTGGTACTTCTCAAGACTTCACTTTTATCTGTGAAACGTGGGGAAGGTTTATAAGTAGATGAATAAGGGGAAGGGTTGCCACCATTAATGGGACTTGAAGTAATTTTTGTGGATAATGAAAAAGCTATTTTTTGGTTTGTTGCTTTATTCCTTGGTTTATTTTGGTATTATTCATTTGTTGTTATTGTATTTAAATAGTAATAAAATAAGATCTGTATTAATTTTGTTATATTTTTCCTATATCTTAAGTATTAGTATAAATTTTCTATTATGGATATATGATTCAGTTTCAGATATGTGATTCAGATATATGAGTATGTGTACCATGCCATGATGTTGAACATTTCTAACTGCCGGTTATGGTCAAAAATATTTTTTAAAACACTGCATTAGATAACCATGAAGTCCCTTTGAATGTAATTCTATGATTTCAAAGAGTTAATCACTGGTTTAGAAAGGCATTCATTTTCTTAAGGCACTAGAGAACTATTTAAATTATCCCACATTGTAGATTATTTAAGTTTTTTTCATGAGTCCCTGTACCTGGTGCCCTTTCCAAGTGAGGCAGAGATAAGAGAGATGGTTATCATCAAGTTGAGACCTTTGTGGTGAGGCAAATCAATAAGCCACATTCTGATGGCATATTGTGATCAATGTAAAAAAAACCAAATACTGACATACTGCTATGGGGGCGCACATTCAATCTCATAAAAACTTCTTTGTATACCTAATAGCTGTGTTTAATTTTTAAAAGCAAGTAGAATTAGTAATATGAGAAAGAAGGTATTCTGGGCTGAGAGAACGTAGTACTTGCAAGTCCTTACGTAGTCCTTGAGAACGTAGTATCTCAAGGGTCATAAGACTTGAGATACACTCACAAATAGATGTTGGAAGTTGTCAGATGAAGCTAAAGTAGTCATTCTGCATATGAAGGGCCTTTTGCAACAGGTTAAATTTCCGTGCTATATAATAAAAGTTGAGTTAAAATTTAAGCAAGAGGAAAAAAATGATAATGCAATTTAGAACCATTGGAGTGGACCAGTGCAGCTTGGTGGTGCTATTGTCACTTTTTGCAGAACTAAATCAAGGGCGTGGCAGAGAGACTGCCTGTGTATTTGTTGTTTCAGCTGTCTACAATGAATGTTCCTCCTGGCATTTAGTGAGACCCCCGTGGTCTTTCTTTCAAGATATAATCAAAGTTACTGTGAAATTTTTCTCCTACCTTCACATTTTAATTGTTCTTAAACTACAGCCGTCCTCTCTTCAAACATATATAGCACATTGTGTATAGTTCTATCGGCACTTTTCTCTTCCTATGCTTACTTGTTTCATTTTTATTTATCTGTTTAAACAGAGAGCTCCCTCTCTTTATTGCTAGTGCTAAAAACGTTGTCAGTCACATTGTAGACTCTCAACATTTGTACATTGACTTATGATTACATATGCTAAAACCAAAGAACAGATACTGAGAAAAAAAGGAAAGGTTAGGAGTAAACGAAAATTTCAACTTTTCCTCTTTATTATATATCTATGCATATACATATCTTACATATCTTCTCAAAGAAGGCTTCTGAGATATTTGAGATTTAGTAATTCAGAAAGTAAGTAAAAAGCTGAAAACTAGAGAGAGTGTATTTTAAGTAAACTTAAGTTGTGGTACTGATGGAGATTTATTGTTGAAGAGATAAAGACATCAGATAGATGCTTATAGACTAGATTTTAAAGTTTCATGTATTCATTAAAACAACAAATACTTATTCTAGCTTACTGTATACTAGTAGCACATTATACACATATGTATGTATCTACATATATTATATGTAGACACGTGCTGTGTGTATATATCCTGTGTGTATAAACACATATCAGATGCATAGAAACACATAGACATGTATATGAATAAAACAAATAGAATTTCTACTTTTATGGTGTTTATAACATCATAGGAGGATGAGGAGGAAGCATGATAATTAAACAAATGTATGTGAATTGTGACTTTGATAAGTATAAGGTAAACATTTTGTACTTTTCCAAAAAAAAAAATTGCTAATTTATTTCTTTAATGGCTAGCTTTTTAAAACACAGATCTCCAGTTTATACAACATTTTATGGCCTATTTTTGTTTGTCTGTGGGAAAATGAAAGCTAAATTTCTGAAATACATTTTAAAAATATTAAATACTGACATAGTTTCCCATTGCGCTTAAAGAAGTCTTGCGAAGATCTAAGTAGGACCTCTTAACACTATAACACAAATGTAGGAAGGGGGTCTTTGGTCTCCCGTAAGAGTTCCCCTATCCCGGGTTTGCAGCACCAAATGTTAAAACCATGCTCTGAATGAAGAGACCCCCCCAAACAGGCTTTGTGTGAGCAACATGGCTGTTTATTCACCCAAGTGCAGGCTGGCTGAGTCCAAAAAGAGAGTCAGCGGAGGGTAATGGGATAGGAGTTTGTTTTATAGTTTTGGGTTAAGCAGTGGAAAGTTACAGAAGATATGGTTTAGGGTATTTTTTTTTTTTCCAAGCTGGGATGGGATCGTAGGTTTGCAAGCCGTGGGAGGGAATTCTACAGTATGGAGTCACAAGGTTGACCAAGGTTGGTTGCAAAGTCCAATGGCCCTGTCAGTTGAGGCCGGAATAAGAAACAATAGAAAAATGCCTCAGTTAGGTGCCGCAGGGGTTGATCATTCTTCTGCTTTTCATGGTCTTCCAGTTACTTTAAGTTTTCTAATTCTGGGAGGCCATCCAGAGATTTATGTGCAGGTCATGGGGCCTCGCCATGGCATCCACTGCACCATCAGCCTAAAAGACCTTACAGAACCAGTATGTTGATGAAGAAGATAAGTCTGTGTTGCTTTAAGCAGTTATTTGCAGTCGTCTTTAAAAAAGATATTGTGTCTTTGGAGTGTGGGATTGGGTGTGTTAAGGTGGTTAATGAACACTTAGGGACAAATATCAAGAAAGTTTTTATACCCTTGGATAATACAAACATTATAAGATTTCATTATTTATTATGAAGCACTGTCAACTTAGCATTTCAAGAACATTCATATTCAAAATCCAGGTTCAAAATTCAATTCAAAGACAAATCAGAGCTTTTGCATTTGCTACTTCGGATTCTTGTATTATATTTTCTTCCAGTATTGTGTATGACTAAGCTTGGACTCTTAACTAATTTTCTGTGGTTGTTGTATTT